GGCCTTTTGAATCATGCAAATTATATGTACTTCAAAAACTTAAATAAGAATGCCATTAAACTTGATTTTGAAGAGCTGAAATGTTACTTCCTGAGTATTTTTGTGTGGAAAATGTTTTAGAAAAATATAGAAAAACTTGTCTCTAGGGCTCATGGTATAGGTGACATGATCTTTTCCATACTTTCTGCTGTTTATATTGAAATCTTGTTTCTTTTCCAAAATCCAAGACTTGTCCATACCCATCCAGCCCACAGAGTGCTACTGAATTTTGGCTGAGCTCAGAGCAGACAGGTAGCCGGCTCCTGAAGGCACCATGCCTACTAACAGCCTCAGTCCACAGGGGGAGGGATGCTCCTCTGGAGAAAGAGTTTTCTTGATGGCCTCATCCAGAGACTTCCTCTGGATGAGTGTCACCTCCTCTGCGGCAGGATCCCTGACTCTCAGCCAGGGTGAGTCAGGGTAAACATACAAGCCTTGAAATTTGACAACCCTGATGTTAAATCTTGCCTTTATCAGTTGCTTGCTGAGCGACCTTTACTGAGTTGCTTAATATTTCTTAACATTCCTTGATCTTCTTATCTAAAAATAAACATGATAACAGTAATTGCTTAATATATTGAGTTGTAAAAAGATTCCTGTAAAGCCTGTATCAAATACCTGATGTGGGGAAAGGCTCACCGCATTCTGGATGTTATCATCATACTAACATATGCGGCATAGTTATCTGCTGCCTAATTGTATCCTTCCATAAATCTGGAACTCTTTGCTGCTTGTCCTTATGTCCTGTGGTTGTTGGTTTTGTTGTTGTTGTTGTTTTTGTTGTTGTTGTTGTTTTTCTTATGTGTGTGTGTGTGTGTGTGTGTGTGTACTAGAGATTGAACCCAGGGACACTCTATCACTGCATCCCCAGACCTTTTTATGTTTTACATTGAGACAGGGTCTCACTAAGTTGCTCAGGCTGGCCTTGAACCTGTGATCCTCCTGCCTCAGCCTCCCGAATCACTGGATAACAGGTGTGTGCCACCGCACACAGCCTCTGAATGTCAGGCACGAATACATGTTGAGTAAATACCTGCTGGATTTATTTCCTCTTGATTCTTGCTGAAAGTATTAACTCATACAGCTAAGGTGATGGCTGATGAAGACTTACTGTCATAACAATATTATGCCTTTCTAGAAGTTTCTGGGGGAGGGCAGCTCCATGCAGGAAAGGCCACAGTATGGAGGACACGCCTTTCCCATGTTCCTTTGCAGCTGAAGTTGCCCAGGTGGGCTGGAAACAGAGCTCCTTCCCACAGGCCCGAAAATCAGCTTGCTCAAGAGAAGTCGGCATCATTTAACCCTCCCTTATTCTCAAAATAAGGAAACTGAGGCCAGGGACAAGATCAGAACTCATGATGCCTGACTCCCAGGCCAGTGCCCTTCACTCCAGATTCCCTGGCCGCATGGAGGACATGTGGGAATTTCAGAAGCAAGCCTTTTCTACAAAAACGGGGAAAAAATAAAAGACAAAGCATTATTGGTAGAAGTCTAGTCTTATTAAACTACCTTTCTAAATCACAATCTAACAAGAGTGCTTCAAGCTAAATAAAGGAAGCTCGAAATACTCCTTTTCACTGGAGAATATAATTTTGCTTCAGCCACAATTTAAATTGATTTAGTTCTGAGCACCAGCATTTGAAGTGTGGAGCATATTCTATTTTCGCCATGATACTTGTTTTGACAGTGATGCATTTCAGTTGACATAGTTGAAATCCTTATGTAATAAATCTCTGCCTGAAAATTAATCATGTTTATAATATTCTGAGAATTAATAACACCCATTGCTCAAATCATTAACTTAAAAAAGGAGCTTCCAAAATCTGTTCTCGGCAGTAAGGGACCACAAATAAATGAATGTTTGATAAAATAATCCAAGTAGCAGTTTAACAAGCGTAAACTGGAATGTGGCTGCAATAACACAGAACTATTGTTTAAGGGTTGGCAGAGGCTGATGAGGTTCTTATTTCAGTTACGAAGCAGGCATCCACATGCATAATGAACTGCTCTCTGAATTATTAATGTGTTGCTTATTTAGCCTCATCTGTCTAGAAGATAATGTATCCTAACTCTAATGAGTGATTGGTTTTGTACATAATTACAGTAGCAGCGGTAGTGGGGAAATGTGTGCCTTCAAAGAACAAGTTCTAAAAATAAAGTCATCGCATAAACTCCGTTGTTGTTGCATTCTATCAAAATCAAACCCGAAGCATTTGAGAATTCATAATAAATTACAGGAGACAGAATCATTATTAACATCATAATTTAACACAAAAGGTTTTACTTAATCATTCATTACAGATCATGTGCTGTTAAGATGTGTATAAATGACTTGGGTTGTTTTAAGATGTTGAGAAAGATGTTCCCTTTCGGCTACTCGCCAGCAGTGGCTTAGAGGGTCCAGAAAGAGGGGCCCAGTGAAAACGGATAGAAAGGGGTGATGATTTTTTTTTGTGTGTGTGTGTGCTGATTATGACAGAACGTTAATTAAAAGTTCAAAAGTGATTTTTTGCTTATTTCTAAAACAGGCACACCTGGGATTTCTCACCTTCAGGTTTATTTGTTTGCACCTTCAAGTGCTTATCTGTAGAGGAGACAGGTTCAGGAGTTTGCTCTCCTGGTCTAATCAGGTCTAAACAGTCCAGCCACCTGTTTGTGACTTGGGACAACTCTGAGTCCTTTCTGGTAGTCCAGAACATTTTTTTTTTTCTTTTCCTATCTCTGTATAACACATTATTAAAGAAATAGGGTCAGACGGGAGTATTTGATAGGCAGTGGTTGTGACTGCGCTCATTCTCATAGTGGTTTCCTCTGTGTGTTTCCTCCCTCTTGGTCTTCAAAAGGGACTGTCAATTGCAAGCCTGACGCATTGCGGTCTGTTCACACTTGTTCAGGAGGCTTCAATTGGTTGCAAATTGTGCTGTGTATGCATCTGTACATGCTTCTTTAAAAAAAAAAAAAAAACCACAGCCTATCACATGTGCACACACAAGCACAGTGGCACCAGGGTGAGTGCATCCATCTTTCTCTCTAACACCAAAAGCGCTTTGAATGTCTCCCTGCATCAGAGACCCTGCACGGCTTTCCTACTGTAGAGACATTTGAATTATTGAAGATCATAATGCTTCCGTCTTGTGTACAGGCAGTTCCTAAAAGTGTATAACACTCTTGATCACAGGAGAATTCCCATCTGTGGCATGTAGCTAGGAAGGAAACCTAGCGGCAATTGGGAAAATGGCAGAGTGCTTCTAATTCAAAGTACAACTTCTGCTCACAATTTGTAAAGCTACTTTAGTGTGGTGAGTTGTCTTTGGAAGGCTTGTGTTGAAAACCAACTCAGCTTCCAGCTAGCTTCCTTTTGGAAGTGTCCTGTGGTTAGGTTCTCTAGCCAAAAAGACTCACATGTTACTGCCCTGTCCCTCTGGCACTGAACCTGGGGTTCACAGCTCCCTTTAGTGAAGATAAAGGCCACAGGTGGGGCTTTGAGACACTGGTTCTCAGCAAGGTCCTGGGGCCTAATTAATCTCTCTAGTCCCACTCCGCTTCCCTTCTTTCTTTCTTTATTTGGTACCAGGGATTGAACTCAGGGGCCTTCAACCACTGAACCACACCTCCAACCCTATTTAGTATTTTATTTAGAGACAGGGTCTCACTGAGTTGCTTAGCACTTCGCTTTTGCTGAGGCTGGCTTTGTACTTGAGATCTTCCTCCCTCAGCCTCCCAAGCCACTGGGATTACAGGCGTGCACCACTGGTGCCCAGCTCTGCCTCTCTTCTTAATCAACAGACATCCAGGGGATTCCTGTGAATGAGGTCCTGGCTGGTAACTCACAGGACAACTGGACTGAGGGAGGAGGAGAAGCGGGAAGCTATTTGAGCCCTAAGATACCAGGCACACTCTCTAGGGAGACTGTGGAGCCTGGCCAGAGTCAAACAGGGTCCTTTAAATCCAGAGGCATCTCCTAGACCCAAAGGGATTCAGCAGAGGCAGGAGACGCTGATCTGTAAAGGTATCTCTGGGACACTAGGATGGAGTCCTCTTTGATGTGTTTTCTATATTTGGATTTCAAGTGGTGCTTCATTTGCCAAAAGGGCTTGAAGCCTACTGCTGTAGAAGCAGAAGAAACCCTTGGCAGTTGTCCCAGCAGATGTGGCTGGAGAGCCCCAAGACATTCCTACACTAAGGGCCTTTAGGTACTTTCGACCTTTGATCCTTCTCTGCACGATCAATTTCGATTGTTGGACCAAGTATCTTGTGTCTCCGTGGAGACCTACCCTTGGCTATCCAGGTGCTGAGGTTGGTGACTCTCAACCAGCTGCAGGACCTGGTCTCAGCCACCCTTGCGAGGGGCTAGTGATGAGAAGGGAGGCTGTGATTGTTGGAAGAGACAGGTCACGAAGGGCCTCATAAACCAAGCTGGGAAGTTGGAGTGGAGATTTTCCTGAAGGTCACAGGTCTTATTTAAATATCCCAAGTAGCAGAGTAACACTCATAGATTTGCTTTTTACCTTGCTGCTTTGATTGTAATGTATGATTAGGACAAGGAGAGACCTAGGGGACAAGGAAACTTAACCAGTATCTAGTGTGAGATAATGAAAGCAGAAACCCAGGTAATACCTTCCTGGAGGCAGAGAAGGGGCAGGGGTGAGGCGTTTAATGGCCAGAACAAATATGACCTGGTTGTTGAGTGGATGTGGCGCTAGGGGGTCTCTTATCAGCCTCCGAATGGAGGCACCTTGAAGGAGAGGTGACAGGGCAGTTTTGAATAGCTTGACCCTGAGGACTCAAAGCAGAGCAGTTCTGTAGAATATTGGATCAAGAGGCTGAAAACTTTAAAATAAAAACAGTAGGGGCTGGAAAATGTGGGGTGTGTCAGAACTAGCTTTCTCCTTTCTCTAATCAAGGAGCTCTGCCTGAGCCTTGCTGGACTCGGGGACAGTCAGGAAGCGTCTGCTGCTTACCGGCTCTGTCAGGGAGCCACAGGGCCTCAATCTCCTTTCTTTCCTTGGTTCGGAGGGGGGCACTTTAAGGATGCTCAAACTGCAATCCAGATGGCCATTCGTCAGATACAGGGTGAGCTGAGTCAGGGCCAGCTGGTCACTATACGAGATGTTGAGGTCCGTTGCCCATACCTGATCAAAACAGGAGCCGGGGAAGTGAGGGTGAGATGGGGAGAGAAAGGAAAGGCCCCGCCACCCCTAACCAGACCGAGCCCCAGTAGAGGGGACCACACCCGTGACCCAGGGGACTTGATGGAGATGTTGCTTGTTTCTGCACCGTTCAGCTGGGGGATGGAGTCGGACTCCAATCAGAGGATTCCAGGTTACATGGGAAGTTACAGAGATGAAAATAACAGATCAAATCTAACAGAAGGGCCTTCCCGGAAGGCTCAGGTCGACTTGGATTTTTTTCGCCTGTGTCTTGGCATTTCAGAGGTGTTCAGTGCAATGTTTTCTACTGAGCAAATGAGACTGGATGGATGTGTCAGGAGATGGGAAGCTAAAGAAAGAGAAGAAAGAGGGCAAAGAGTGAGAGAGAATGAGCTGGGAAGAGTGAGTGAATAAGAGGAGAGGTAGTTTGCCTTGAAATGGGGCGAAAAAAGCAGTGTTGACCTCTGGGAAACCCAACATGATTTTAAAGGGAAACTGATGGTTGGCCTGTAAGGCTTAGCTCCACCGCCATTCTACATTTTTATGTCTCAGGGACACCCCACTTCACTTTTAATGCTGAATTAAAAGTGAAAATGCTTCAAAAAGTAGGGAAGAACACTAGGATGCATTAAAAACAAAAATAGACATTCATTGAATTAAACATTACTGTCACCTACAAGATAACTGAGCAAAGTCCATTAATTCCTTGGACAAATATTCAGTGAGCATCTACTATGTGTTAGACAATGACAGAGAAGGCTCCTGTGCGGCCTCTCCTGATTCTCCTCAGACAGATCCACTTTATTACCCTGTCATTTCCCACCTCCCACTGCATCGAGAAGCACCCCAGGATCCTCCTCAGTTCAATGCTCCAGGGACATCACTGTGCCAGTCACTGGAGAGTCAAAGGCAAACCATGGGCACAGGTCCTGTCATCAAGAAGGTGGAGTCGGTACACACATATTCAATCAGTTACGATACAACGAAGTCTGGAATACAGTAACGTGGGGGAATAAGGCAGAAGGAAAGCGCAGACAGATTTTACCTAGGGATGTCAGGGATGCATCCCCAAAGCGACATTTAACCAAGCAACAAAACCACAACTGGCACCCATGTGTCAAGTACGGACAGGTCTTTATAGTAACCTTTCTTCAGAACTTTATAGTAACCCCTCTTCAGATCTTTATAGTAACCCCCAATCCACAGCCTGATGTTACGGATGAAGAAACAAGTTCAGGGTGGTCCCAAGTCCACAGGGATAGGAAGCAGGGGTGCTGGGACTCAAATCCAGCTCTGCCTGCCTCCGAGCCCACCCTCTGCCCATTCCCTGGTGGAGGAGATGGCATGGATCCTGCACTGACTCTCTGGTCAAATTAAAAACTGAAGTTGCAGAGGATCAGTGCATGTTCTTGCTTAATACAATCCATGCCATGGAAGTGTCTTGTGGAGAAAACATGAAGTATTGTATTTCTGCAGCGTGCTGTAATTAGCAGTAATGCATTTTCACTGTAGGAAGTTGGAAACTAACACATTTTCATGAAGACTTGATTAAATATTTCTTTCCTCTTTGAAAGCCTACAAGTGCCCCACTCACCAACTCTGTATGTTAAAATACATAATACATCTGCCCTAGAGTGGACTCCTCTCAAACAAATCTAGCAGTGAGTGACTTGAGTAAGCATTGAATGTAAATGGCATCATTATAAGGATATTAAGGGGTCAAGCTGTCAAGGCCCCTTGCTAAACTGAAGCTAATTTCAGGAGTCATATTCGAACAGTAATGCCCTTTTATAATAGCAAATAAATCACATTTGCAACAATTGTTAAAAACTCACTGCCAAGTATCTATTGCAGTTGTAAATATCCTATTTGTCAACTTAAATATTTCCTGCTGCATGGCATAAAATGTAAATCAGATGGGGACAGTTACTGTTCCTTCACAGGAGAAAGTGAACTTGCTGCTCTCCCATGCCGGGCACTTTTTTTTTTTCCCCCTAGAGCTTCTGTGATGTCTTAGTGCTCTTGATCAAAGGGAAATGTATATAACAAACAGTGTTCATATTTATGCTAATGGTATTATTGTTTGGTGATGAGGATTTTAGTAGGGAGGCAGCACAGTATTGGGCAAAGATGGAGAACTACAGAGTCAGAAAACCCATGTGTAGGGGGCCTTGAGCGAGTTTGAGGCTTTCTCTACTTCTGCATCCTTAGGTGTCAAAGGAGCAAATGATAATATGTATTACATGGTGTTTGGGGGAAAAATGCATAACATTGTCTTATAGATTATAAAGTTCAATACAAAACATTCCCTTTAACAGTAGGTTTTTAGGAGAGACATTCTGGGCTGTCTCTGGAGCTACTCAAGCTCCCCATTTCATAACTGGTCAACTTCAGAGCAACCCAGTCGATAGGCCACTGGGTGTGGGCAAGGTTGGTATCATCCCAGCTCCATTTTACCCATGAGGATGCTAAGATGGAAAAGTGGCATCCGGGCTAGCCTGAGACAGCACAGACGGGAGCTCTGGACTTTCCAGAAGCAAAGTACTTTTGCTTTTCCAGGCCGCCCTCATTCCTTGGTTCACAAAGTAATATAGAAATAGTAGAACAAATTTCCTAAAGCCTTTTCCTCAACAGCAGGCTTGCCTGATTTGCTCAGATAATTGTTCTGCTCTCCATCTGGTTTTTCCACTGAAGACACCGCCTGAGGCGTGCTTGTTTTGTGTACCAGGGTTCCTATCTCCCCCTCTAGACCGTCAGCCCTTCAGGGGAAGCTGCTGAGTCTTTGTCTTCCCAAAGCGCCCAGCGTGAGGGGCAGGGACTGGCGCGGCAGGGCGCATCCGCAATTCCAAGCTGCACCGTGAACTCCCCCCAGCCTTTCCAAGGGGAGCTGAAGGGGAGCCGGGTGCCTCTCCAGGCTGGGCTCTGATTCAAATGGAGCCAATGTTCCTGGAGCACCTCTTCTGTGTCCCCCAGGCTCTCCCGCACCTCTCATTTCATTTGATTTTTAAAATTTTGGACTTGGATATTAACTTTAGAACCGAAATCTCCTTCTGCACTGAACACACAACTCCGACAAGCGGTGACAGTGGCCTGTACAAAGACACTGTGAGCAGGGATGGCACGAGTGGATGGATTGTACAGTTTGTTGGTGGTGGCTTTGACATGACTTGCTTGTAATGACTTGTAATGACTAGCTTGACGGGTTAATTGATTAGATGTGAGGGAGAGGGGAAACGTTACTGAAGGTTAGAGCTGGAATCACCTCATGCAATCAGTTTACTTTATAAATGGAGCAACTCTGGCATGGAAAGTGAAGTGGTTTGCTCTAGGTCACAGAGCCAGGTATCAAAGGTGCAGGACAAGAACCAAAGGGGTCCCAGCTCTCCATCAGACATCACTTGTGGATTACTGTTTGGTTGATGAGGTTCAAAAAATCATTTTGTTAAAGATGGCTTAGGGGCTTGGGATGCGGCTCAAATGGTAGTGCGCTGGTCTGACATGCGTGAGGCACTGGGTTTGATCCTCGGCACCACATAAAAATAAAAAAGATATTGTGTCCATCTAAAACTAAAAAAATAAATATTTTTTTTTTTAAGAAGATGGCTTAAATGTTAGAGAAACTTACATCAAGGCCTAAGAACACAGCAGCACAAAGGCTTTTGAGTCAGCCTTTCTTAATTTTGAAAAATGGTAGCTGTCCTTGGATTAGAAGATGAGGACACACCCAAGGGTGGGGCAGTCTGTGGTATTATCCTGAGAGATGATGGTTGTGGATAACTTGATGATTTAGAAAGAAGCAGGAAACAACAAGAAGATAGAAATTTACACGAGGAATATCGGCTTTGCAAAAATAATATGTATACAAAAAACTACATGAGAATATACAGAATGTTAACCATCCATCTGATATTAGCAGAATGATAACCACAATTGCATATAGACTTCATGCATATTCTAGATCTGTCTAGCTGGCGCTAATAGGGTAGCCATGGAGGGGAGCTGAAAAGGAGCCCGGTGTCTCTCCAGGATGGGCTCAGATTCAAATGGAGCCAATATTCCTGGAGCACCTCCTCCGCATCCCCTAGGCTCCCCTGCACCTCTCATTTCATCTCATTTTAAATTTTGGACTTGGATATTAACTTTAGAATCTAATCTGTTTCTGCTCTTGAGCTGTTGAGCGCTTGTGGCTACTGAGCACTTGAAATGTGGTTGGTCCAAATGGAGACGTGCTGTCAGTGTAGAAAACACGCCAGATTTCCATCATGAGGATGCTAACAAGAACATAGAATCTTTTATCCATAACATTTCATATGGATTACAGGTTGAAATGATAATACTTTGGGTTAAAAACATAAAAATTGTTTTCAACTTCTTTTGGGTTAACTTCTTAAAAGGGGCCTACCAGGAAATTTGGCAAAGAAGTCCATTGCAACTAGCAAAGAAGGAGGGACAGCAGGAGTGGGGGAGAAGAGAAGTACTGCTGAGGCCCCAGCCCTCCACCGCCCTGACTGCCACAGGGCTGGGGGCTGCACTCACTGCCGCTTCATCCAGAGGCCCCGGCACGTGAGAGCCAGTAGACGGGTCCCAGGTTCTTTGGGATAACAAGGTAACAACATGCTCTTGTGTGGGGAGGGGTGGGGGAGAGACCCTTTTTGCCTTAGGTGTTCCAGGCAGATGGAGGCCGCCTGCTCACCCCTGCTGCTTCTCCTCTTTCCAGTGACAGGCGGGATGGATGGGTGGCAGAGCATGCAGATGTGGGCAGATGTGCTCAGGCCCTACGTTCTGGAACTGTCTCCAAATGCAAATAAAGATCTGTAACATAGGGCTTGGTCTTGACTCTGGCCAACCTGACAGGCATTGGGTTAGGTATGGCAGGGAGGGAGTAATTCATAGATCGAATAACATTCATCGAAGAATTAAGAGTTTCAGAGCTTTAAGAAGCCGTAGGTATTTTACAGACTCATTTCAAGGTTTCTTCTTCC